TCCCTCGTTGGTTCTATCATTTGCATTTATAAAAAGAGGAGTAAAAGCAGCAGGGAGAGTAGCTGCAGAGAAAGAAAGAATAAACATTTATATTTATTTTATTTAGTTTATTTTATTTTATTTTATTTTATTTTATTTTGTGTTTTTTGTTTTATTTTATTTTATTTAGTGAGATATATATATATATATATTCCCTCGTTGGTTCTATCATTTGCATTTATAAAAAGAGGAGTAAAAGCAGCAGGGAGAGTAGCTGCAGAGAAAGAAAGAATAAACATTTATATTTATTTTATTTAGTTTATTTTATTTTATTTTGTTTTATTTTATTTTGTGGTTTTTGTTTTATTTTATTTTACTTTATTTTATTTTGTTTTATTTTATTTTTTTTTATTATATTTTACTATATTATATTATATAATATTTTATTTTATTTTATTTTATTTTATTTTATTTTGTTTTGTTTTGTTTTGTTTCATTTTATTTTATTATATTTTATTATATAATATTTTATTTTATTTTATTTTATTTTATTAAATAGGATAATATATATGGGATATACGCAAAAAAAAACATAAAAATAAAAATAAACAAAAAAATAATAAAGAATAAAATAAAATAAAAAGCAGAATAAAATAATTAAAAATAAAATAAAATAAAGGGGAATGAGATGATAGAAAATAAAAAATAATAAAATATAATAAAGGAGATTCAGGTGTATACACACCACACAGAAGCAACGCAGACACCGCAATGCTGCTGCTATTTGCAGCAGCAGCAGCAGCAGCAGCAGCAGCAGATCCAGCAGCAGCAGATGCAGCAGCACCAACAGCAGATCCAGCAGCAGCAGATGCAGCAGCACCAACAGCAGATGCAGCAGCAGATGCAGCAGCAGATGCAGCAGCATCACCAGCAGCAGCAGCAGCAGTAGCAACGCCAGCAGCAGCACCAGCAGATGCAGCAGCATCACCATCAGCAGCAGCGGCACCCGCAACAGCAGCAGCAGCAAAAACAGCAGCAGCAAAAACAGCAGCAGCAGCAGCACCACCACCACCACCGACAACAACAGCAACAGCAGCAGCAACAGCAACAGCAGCAGC